GGGGGGGGGGGGGGGGTTGCAAGACAAAAACCAAATATCTGTCACCTACCCATGGTTTTAATCCTGAGAAGGCGTATAATAAATCGGCAAAAATAAAGGACAACCGTAGTAAAAATGAAAAACCAGGATTGGTAATAAAAAGGAAAATACCAAATTCAAAATTTTGACACATTTTTTATGAAACTGTATAATATCTTTTATAACATTTTTCTTTAACGCCATATAGGAATTAGAAAAATTAAAGTTTGAGTCGAGTAATTAGAATTTAAGCTGGCAGATAAAAGCATCTTTAATAATCGAGAGACGCGAAGCATCCCTAAATGCATATTTATTCTGCTGTATAAATATTTCTCCTTTCTGAAATTTCTGAAATCAAGACACGAATCCGGGATTACTTTTTAACCCACTGCACTAACTTTAAAGTTCTTCATCTTAGAAAATACATAAAAGAAGATGAGCATGAAGAGGAGACACGACAGAATACATGAGTAGTTATTATGATATATTATACAGTGTGCACACAATCTTGGTTTGAATACTCAAGAGTGCAGGAGGAGAAAAGAATACAATATAAGACATAACATAGATATCTCACGCAAAATTGCCGCTTTAGAATGCTTATTGGTTTTGGTATTGGTTTTGATTACAAGCAATCAACATTTAAACTAGTTATAAAAAAAAATTGTATGTGCTAAAAATGGTTGTACATTTACGATATGGTTTGAATAAAATTAAATAAAGCCAAAAATGTGATTTTGCGAAGCATACAAAAAAAAATTAAACCAAAATTTTAAGACTTAAATCATTATGTATGGCTTTCTAGTACTTCAGAAATGTTAGGCCGTTTAAAAGAGCAAAGCCCAAAGCAACCTAATGTTAGGACAGGCGCAACAAAACTCGCATTCCAAATATTACACTCCGTTAAAAAAAAAATATAGATATTTCAAATTATTTCTTTCTCACAAAACAGAAAGCAAGTTTTTTTAGTGAGGGATATTTAAAAAAAGACGACATTTTGTGAAATTTTAATAGACTAATGAAAGTCTATTTTTGCGTGTAAAAGCTGTTAACTAGTCTTTACATTATGAAAGTCCTTGTTGCTGGTTATATTGATAAAGGATTAGTATCAATGAGAAGATTAAATAAACCCAGAGGAAGGACAATTATAATAGAAACTCTTGATAAACAATATTCAAGTAAATACTAAAGTGTCCAGATATTCAGTTAAATGTCGCGGTAATTATAAGAGTTGATAAAAAGTACTTATTTATTTTAACTAGGCTTGTAAGAAACTTCGCGCCCATTTTCAATTTCAATTGTGAACATTGTAAAACAAAAACAAAATAAAAAAGATCACGGATTTAAAAAAAAAATTTCATTTTTTTTAATCGAATTTTGTTGGAGGCAAATTTTCGAAATTTTGATCATTTATAGACCGTCCCGGGGGTCATATGAGGTCCCACACAACATTTGGGCCCGATCGGTTAAGCCTTCTTGACGGACAGACAGACAAGCAAAGTATATACATTATATACTAAGCTTTTAGGGCGCTTCTCTTTTTACAGTATAAAAAACAAAACAAAAAGTTTGCGGATTTCATAATATTTTTTCGCGCATTTTCAAAATTTTTATAAAAATAAACTTTTAAACACAAATTTTTGAAATTTTAATCATTGAATCAATTGAATTTGACGAACATCTATATAATAAAACAAACATTCGTCTGGACCGATTGGGCTGACATTTTTTGTGGACACTCATGTGTGGCCAGGGGGTGTTATAGGCTAAAAAAATTGAAATTTTTTTCTATTTTTAATTTTTTTTTAAATTTGAATTTTCTCTTTCGTATTTGCATATTTTCTGAAAATATCAAATATTGTTGTCTTACGTTAAAACTGTAATGAAAAAAAATATTTACATGAGCAATACCACTAAAAAACGCGGTTTTTTGGTCAATGAATACAATTTTTCCATTTAAAAAAAAATGAAATGAGACCAATTCAATAAATAAAATAAAATCTTAAATAATAATTTTAAATTAATGTTGTCTCTGCTCTGCAGATTCCATGAAAACCTTTTAATTTTTAAAATATTAATTTTCAGTTATTTAGGTTCTACGTAACTAAAACACATCTATAATCCCTTCACAGTAAGTGACCAACCCGGAACTAACGCTTCCCATTTTTTAAGCAAATATTTTTCAGAAATTCTACTAATACTTCTTTCAACGGAGAAACTAGAAACAAATATGTTTTAGATCTAAAATGTGCATTTTATTGTTTAGGGCTACAAACACTTTTAAGTAGGTTTGTAAGGTAAAACCAAAGGCTAAGTTCAACCCGGTCTTTAAAAATTATGCATAATTTTCCTACAGTAACTTTGGAAATATCACAAGAATGTGTAAAATGTCGTCTTCTAAACCTACAAATAATGAAATGCTGAAAATATTTAAGTTTTATTTAGACATTAAATGGAGCCCTTCAAAATTGTTTCCGCAAATTTCAAGAGTTTTTATTTATTCTTTTTATCACCGAGATCTAGGTATAATAGTATAAAACCCATTGCAAAATTGTCAAGACGACATTTTATAAATTCTTTCGATGACTCCGAAGTTCTGGTTTATCAGTATGTTTTCTTTGTGTTAAATTGTACATAGAAATAAACTCTGCGGTTAAATGGTTTTAAGTAAAATAATAAAAAAATCTTAGATATTTATTTTTTCAAAGGGTTTGTTACGACTATTTCAAAACAAAATAAAGTTTTTCTTAATTATCAATTGAAGTTCTTTACAAAAGCAAGAAGCTCTAAAAATCGTCGAATGGATTTCTTCAAAAAAATTTTTTTAAAAATGTTGGCCTTAAAAATCGTATTTAATCATCCTTTTTCACAATCTATCTGTTAGTTCCTCTAATTTTGCGTACTGCACAATGAACAATGCTTTATCAGGTTTTCAAATTCAAGTAGGCTCTTAATTAATAGAATACTGTAATTATAATATCAATGATAATATAAACTCTTTAAAAGAGTATTTAATCAAGAATTATAATAATAATAAGAATGCCAGTTCTTTAAAATCTTTAAATTGGAAGTGATTTTACTGAGAATCTTTCATCCACGAAATGGTTTATTTTCAAGAAAATAGGTCTTATTTTGAAAATCCTAAAATTTGATTTAATTATAAAACTATTCTTGATTGTGTTGGTTGCATTTTAGATAAAATGAAGAATATAAATACTTGAATAAATTTTACAGAATATAAAATAAAGGAATAATCATAAATAAACCAACTTTCATGTAATGTAATGCCAAATTTTGTACTTAGTAAATAATATTAAAAATTAATGTGATATGGATTAATTAAAAGATTTTCAGGAATTTTTTTTCCAATTTAATTCATGGTCTTTCATGACAAACGTAGCACTTTTTAAAAATCACTCTGTGTGATTTAGGATATAAATGTCAAATTCTAAAGATAAAGCGTCTCGACACAGGAGGTCGTCTTGTAAAGGACGTTTAATGAAACAAACAAACAAACCAAGTCAGGGCGGAGACTTGGTCAAAACTATCCAGGTCAAAACTTACTATCCATATCAGACAGCTATAAATGTACCAATTGGTTACTACACTAGTAAAGTGTGGCAGCAATGTGCTATGTAAGAGTAAAATCATTCAGAATTCGAATTCTAAGATGCAAATTACGTAAATGTAACATCTGTAACATATAATCAGTGTTAAGGATCCATTTAATTTTGATACGGATCTGGATCCAGATCCTGGATCTGCACTGGAAAGAAATGGATCCGGATCTATGTCAATGAACATTTCTTTAAGATTAACTAATTTTTTTTTAACAAAGCAGAATTATCATATTTTTTTCTTTTTTTCGCTTTTTTATGCTTAAACTTGATGAACCATTCAGAGATAAGGAAATTTTAAAATTCAGCTTTTTCAACAGTTCAAATTTGGGTTTTGAGAGTAAAAAAGCTTTTTTTTGCAGTTTTTTGTTGATATTTTTCCCCTTGAATCCAGATTCATGGATCTGTATATTTTTGCAGATCCGGATCCAGGAACCCAAAATCTTGCGGATCCAACAGATCCGGGTCCTAAGCACTGCGACTATAATGAGGTTGGCTTCTTTTATACATAGTATGCGTTATTCATATTAGGAACTATAAGAGATATAAGAGACGAAGAAAGAATGGACAAGGGTTATACAAAATACATCTATTCAAAAAATAATCTTTTCACCGACATATTTTCTTTCAAGTGTATTGGAAAGAAAATTTTAAAGAAAAAAAAGATATTTCAATAATTTACGCATTTAGATTATCAGTTCTAGATACCTCCCTAACTCCCAGGGGCATCATATTTTTATTAAGCCCACTCAAAGGTTTTTAACCGCTTAATTCTAAACATTTTTGAGGGAAAACGTTCTTTATCTCCCCCCCCCCCCCTACAACTAGCTTCAGCAAAAATTTCCCCCATTTTGAAATTTTCTTGATTTACGTAGAGAAAAAAATAGTTAACCAACCTGTCTAAGCTCTCATTTATCTGGGCTTCTGAGAATCCCCCAGAATTAAAGGTTGAGAGCAAGGTCTCAGTCAGGTTGGAGAGAAACCCGGGAGGGATTGAAAACTTACAGTTCTCCTCTAAAAATATCTTATCTGACGCAGATTCCGATAAAACTACGCATTTATTTTGTCAAATATAAATTTATCAAATATTAGAATATTGAATATTGAAGAAACCTGTAATATGCTGGAGGAGGGTGAAATGTAGTTTAGAGTAGAGCAATCTCTCATCAGTTTTCCCAGTTAAAGGACTGAAGATCGTCCAAACCAACATCCCGGATACAGGACTCCGTTCCAGCATACTCACAACACCTTGGCTCTCCGTCTCACCCAGAGCTCCACAGAGATCCAAATTATCCTTGAGCCAGGAGAACCCTATCCTCACCAGCTGTATGGGAGGAGGGGAGAAGGTTGAGTTTGATTGAGGAGCAGGATACAGGTCGCTGAAGTATGTGAGAAGGATACCGGCTAGCAGGGGAGATCTATCCGGGATATTTGCTAGACTGATATCTTTATCAGGGAGCAGGGTTATATACTCCTGTACTAGGGATTTAGTAACAGTTATACAGGGTTGAGAGGAAGGTGGTTGCTGGGTCCACCATAGTGCAGCGCAGTTTAGGAAGGTGGTGTTTCCTTCACCCAGGTTCAAGCTTAGGAGCTTGGACAGCGTGGATATCTTAAAATCTACTTGACGGCCCTGAAAGGAAAAAATTGGATTATTCATACAAAAACAGTATGAATTTAAATCTCAAGGTTGTAATTTTCTAATATTGAGATGTCATTAATTATGTCTCATTAGTGGAATTATTAAAAAGAACCCGTTTAGTCATTTTAACAGAATTGTTCAATGTTCATCCATTCAAATGACGTGAAATTATTGAATTACGATTTTGGTTGATGAATTACAACAGAGAATAAATGTTAAAAAATACAGAGTCAGGATGCGCACACATTCTAACCGTCGTGATGCGTGCCACGTGACATGTGACGGAGTGTTGAAACTTTTGTTCAAATAAGCTGCACAATCAAATAATAATTCTTTTCGTGGTCGAGGTTTAAAGAGAAATTTACATTATCCCTCTACTCCCCCCCCCCTCCCTCCCTCCCTCCCTCAGGGAATCTTTCAGAGAAAAGAGAGTAATTAACCCTCTTATCAATACATGGCATGGCAGAATAACTATTTTCAATTATCTGACTAATTTATAAAAAAAGAAAAAAAACTAAATAAATGTTCAAATTCACCTTGGCTAGAAATACAACCATGAAAACTGAACAGAGAAGACTAAAATCTGTGTCTGCGCTGAAGTAATCTGTGAGAACCTAAATTAAAAAATACAAACCATTTAAAAAAATCATGATAAAATTAAACCAATGAGTTTAGAGGCGTACTCAGGGAAAGGTGGCCTAAAGCTCAATGAAATCTATGGTTCCAAGGGGTTTTAAAATCTCATTGTGTGCTGACTGCCCCTCCCTATATTACCAAGAGTTGGTTAAACTTCACATTTTCGCTGCCTGTACGATTAGCTGTTGTATTAAATACATGATAGGAAAAACGTACTGTAAACCTGTCCTAGGTCATGAGAAACATACCAAATATATAATTTAAAGCTTTTATTAGTTAAAGACAGGAGGGCTGGAACTTAGCTACCTGCCTGTGTATTAGCCCGAGTGTACGATTAAGACAGTAAACTGATATAGGATATAAAGAGATTATGGCCTATTCATGCAGTGAAAACATCAAATATGCAGTACGCTTTCGGAGAACAAGTGTATGAGGAGGCTTCGTATCTTAAATTTTACATAGTTTTCTCAGAACCTTTAAAAAACAATGAAGTATTGCCCGGGGCGGCTTAAGGGGGGGGGAAGGGGACGCCCACCCCCTAGAAAGTTAAGGTGACGTCCTCCTCCCTGGAAAACTGAGGGGAGTCCTGTCCTTCGAGTCCTTCCATCTTTGAACAATTTGGACCGCAAGAGTAGATTCAAACTTTTTTTTTCTTATTTACTCAAAATGAATATTTTTTTTATCAAAATTCAAATCTTGGTATCACATATTCCCCAGTCCACTCCCCGCCTGTCGTACAGACTAGATTTAGTTTATAGAGGATAATCATTTCTATACGTAAAAACCTCTTTAATAAATCAGAATAATTCAGTGCATTCACTAATTCATCAGGACATGATCAAATGTATTACTGAGGCTGAAAAACGCATCCTTCAGCACACTGTGAATCAGGTATCTTCTGAGTATGCTCATGTGCATATCATGGTTTTGACACAAAATGACCAAATTCCCTGTAAAAATTTCCAGGGGGGAATTTTTTTATCCGTATCACTTCCGGTCCACATCCGATGTATACATATTTAAAATGTGCCTCCCCCCCATCCAAAACTTTAAAGTCCTCTCCCTTCCTCCTAGTTCAGTATTTTGCTTGCATTTTAGTGGTGAGGCTTTATAAAAATATTAGATTTAATTTGGATCACCCTGTAATTGTTCTATAGTTTTTCAAATTATTGTCAAGAAAAATGAATTAGAATTAATGTTAAACATTTGAGAGTAACGTTCTTAATTTGACATTACACTCTTATAAATAGAGGACCAATTGAAAATATGTGACAAAAAAAATGACTTTCGGAAACATGCAGTATGTTACAAACTGTATCATACAGATTGACCTTTTGAAGTGGAGTATGCATGGTCTGTACAATTAGTAAAGGAATAGCGTACGCTATCACTCTATATACTATAACCTCGTTGGTGAAAAAGGATTGTTCAGATATTTACGCACATGGATTTGGCACGACGATAAAAGGGATTGTTCAGATATTTACGCAAATGGATTTGGCACGACGATAAAAGGGATTGTTCAGATATTTACGCAAATGGATTTGGCACGACGATAAAAAGTATCAAATCATACAAATCTCAGGCTTTGTAAACAACAATTAAAAATTACCAACAACCTAAAAATTATGTTTTGTCAACTGGGAAGAGTTTTTAATATCGTAAAATGAAAATATCGGGTTTAGTGGGACACACAGACAATGCATTTCAAATCAGTCTTTTTTTCCAGTTCAGAACTATTAATTAAACTTGAAATAGTAGTAGTTAGAATCATTTTACTTCAACATAAACTCACCACAGTTTGTTTGTGTAGAAAGTATAAAAATTGAAAAAGATCTTCTTCCCAATTATGATTTTTTATTTCTTACAATATTTTTTGTTTATTAACATATCATAAAATACTTATCATATTACATGTTTTTTTCATCATTATTAATAATTTTTAGAAAATAAGATGTGATAGAGAAAAATGAGAAAATAAGTGGGGAAACATTTGAAAACTTTAACTTAATATTAAGGATTAGAGTTTTCTTACTGAGATTGTTAAATCTTACAAATTCAAGAAATAGGGGATTACATTTAACGAATTGTTTGTTTAAGTGGATAGGTAGGAAAAGGGGTTGGTAGGTAGGGGGAGAGGAGATACGGTAGAAAGAAAGTTTAAGGAAAGGTGAAATAGTGGAAGGAAGGAGGCATGGGAAGAAAGAAGTATGTATAATGAGGGGTAGGAGAAGGTAAGAGGTATAGGGAAGAGAAGGAAGGTAAGTAAAGGGAGGGAAGGAAGGAGGTATAGATAGGGTGGCGAACGAAGGAGGTAAAGTGATGAGAAGTAAGGAGGTAAGGAAAGGGGATAGGTATGAAGGGAAGTCAGGGAAGGAAAAAGGTAGGAAGAGGGCGGGGGAAGTGTGAGGAGTGGGAAGGTAGGATATAAAGAAGGTAGGGGTAAAGGGAGTTAGGTGTGAGGTAAATGAATCAAATCAAGCTCTACCTGTATTATCTGGAGCTGTTGAATACTTCCCAGTTTCTTTTGTTTCCCAGCTCGAGGGTTTCCGAACACATATTCATCAATATAATCTACCATAAACTTATATTATTATAATCTACCATAAACTTATATTAATATAATCTACCATAAACATATATTAATATAATCTACCATAAACTTATATTAACATAATCTACCATAAACTTATATTAACATAATCTACCATAAACATATATTAACATAATCTACCATAAACATATATCAATAAAACCTACCATAAACTTATATTAATATATTCTACTATAAACATATATTAACATAATCTACCATAAACATATATTAATATAATCTACCATAAACATATATCAATAAAACCTACCATAAACATATATTAATAAAATCTACCATAGACTTATATTAATATAATCTACCATAAACATATATTAACATAATCTACCATAAACATATATTAATAAAATCTACCATAAACTTATATTAATATATTCTACCATAAACATATATTAATATAATCTACCATAAACATATATAAATAAAACCTACAATAAACATATGTTTATAAAATCTACCATAAACTTATATTAATATATTCTACCATAAACATATATTAACATAATCTACCATAAACATATATTAATAAAATCTACCATAAACATATATCAATAAAACCTACCATAAACTTATATTAATATATTCTATCATAAACATATATTAACATAATCTACCATAAACATATATTAACATAATCTACCATAAACATATATTAATATATTCTACAATAATCATATATAAATACAAACTACCATAAACTGATATTCATATAATCTACCATAAATTTATATTAATATAATCTACCATAAACCAATATAAATAAAACCTACCATAAACTTATATTAATATATTCTACCATAAACATATATTAATAGAATCTACCATAAACTGATATTAATATAATCTACCATATATTTATATTTATATAATCTACCATAAACATATTCATTAATATAATCAACCTTAAACATATATATATATATATATATATATAAACATAATCTACCATAAGCTTATATTAATATAATCTACCATAAGCTTATATTAATATAATCTACCATAAGCTTATGTTAATATAATCTACCATAAACATATATTATTATAAACTATCATAAACTTACAAAAATATTTTCTACCATGAACATAAATTAATATAATTCGACTTTTTTGACAGTAAATCAATCTTAACTTCATAAATTCTTCAATATATTCTACCATAAACTTAGATTAATAATCTACCATAAACTTATATTTATGTACTCTACTATAAACATATATTAATATAATCTACCAAAACATATATCAATATAAATAACTTCATTGGAGACCCTATATTTTCATTGAGACCCACAGATTTTCTATGGAGACCCCAATATTTTAATTGAAGACCCCAATCTTTTCATTGAAGACCCCAATCTTTTCATTGAAGACCCCAATCTTTTCATTGGAGACTCCAATCTTTTCATTGGAAACCTCAATCTTTTCATTGGAAACCTCAATCTTTTCATTGGAAACCCCAATCTTTTCGTTGGAGACCTAAAACTCACCCCGAGATTATCATTGGAGATCCCTAGTTTTATGTCAAGACCCCAGATTTTTGTCCAAGACCCAAAAATTTTCATTGGAGACCCCAATATTTTCACTGGAATCCTCCAAGGTTTTCATTGGAGACCCTCAAGATTCACATTGGAGACCCCTCAAGAATTACATAAGAGACTCAAAATTTTTGTTTTAAACCCCCAATTTTCATTTGAGACCTTAAGATTTTCATTCAAGACCCCAAATATTTTCAATGAAGACCCAAACTTTTCGTCGGAGACCCCAATATTTTCATTTGGGATTCCATACTCTTCGTTATAAATCCATTGGAGATACACAAATTTTCAATAGAGAACTCAGTCCCTACTTTTTGTTTTTAAACCCCAATTTGGGTACTCCAACGAAAATCTGGAAGTCTCCAAGAAAATCTGGGGTCTCCAATGAAAATCTTGGTGTCTCCCAAAAAATTCTGGATTTCATCAATGAAAATCTGGAGGTCAATAAAGAAAATCAAGGGTCTCCATGTAAAGCAGGGGGGTCTGCTATGGTAATCTGGCGGTCTCTTGTGAAAATTTAGGTACTCCAACGAAAATCTGGAAGTCTCCAAGAAAATCTGGGGTCTCCAATGAAAATCTTGGTGTCTCCCAAAAAATTCTGGATTTCATCAATGAAAATCTGGAGGTCAATAAAGAAAATCAAGGGTCTCCACGTAAAGCAGGGGGGTCTACTATGGTAATCTGGCGGTCTCTTTTGAAAATTTGGGTACTCCAACGAAAATCTGGAAGTCTCCAAAAAAATCTGGGGTCTCCAATGAAAATCTGGGGGTTCTCCATTGAAAATCTGGGACCTCCAATGAAAATGAAAACGAAATGGACGTTATAGCCGACCATTACCTCTAATGATTGTTTTCTGCATTACAGAAACCGAGAAGTAGGCCTATCGCTCGGTCTCTATAAAACAGAAAACAAGCATTATCCCTCAATTAGAACTTAAATTGCTAAACCCTAGAAGTACCTAAAATCAGTACCTATTGCCTGATATGATTTTTTTGTCAAGAAGTGAAATCAACTATTTTGGTTAAACTAATAAATGTAGTTTCATTGAATTTTAAAATTGCCTCGTAGTGGCAACACTCCATTTTTACATGTAGCTGATCCCTTTAAGATAAAGACCCAATATATTTGGGGGGTGCTCTACAATGTAAATATCTCCTGTTGAGACTGGGAGCATGTTCAAATTAAGAAAAAAAGTAAAATTTACACAAATTTGGGTCACCCTGGTATATATATATTGTTCTACCCAGACAGAATTTCATGACTGTGCTCCGAAACTAGGACTGAGCGGATAATGTAAAATACCTGTCAGCTTCTCTAAATCCTGGGAGAGGGAATCAGCGTTCTTAGACATTCTCTCACACTGCAGGAATCAAGATTAATAATTTTTTAACAAATGAACCGAACACTTGCCTCAATATTTAATTTTCTTATACTTACATCTTTACAACCTAATGTCGTAAACCTGTAATATTTTAATATCAGAATTCTTCTAAAATAGAATAGCAATACCATCAGATGCGTACAAAATGGGGGGGGGGTGAAGACTGTCGGCCCCAACGGGTGCTGAACCCCCCACCCCTGAAGAAAAAAAATTTACCCCCTCTCCCCCCAGGACAAATTCCTGCGTACGTTTTGAATAACATTACATTGAAATAATAACCATTAAAAACCAGAAGTAATTGCAATTACAAAAAAAACTACAATAATGATAATCAATGATTAATTTCACAAATTCTTGATTCGTTCCTCTCCGTGTATAATCTTCAGAGCCTCTGCAACAGACTGCGGAAAATCATATTTTCTGAGTGAGGGCAACCCTGTCTCCATTTTCATATTTTGTTATTTTTCCATCTGAAGTAAACAAGATTTACATATTCATCGTCGAACTAAATTAAATTATATACTTAATGAAAATATAAATTAAATTCTTTATAAATTTAACAAGTTGTTTACGAAAAAAAACCTAGTCCAAAATAATCAAATCACAACTGATTAAATCAGTTGCACAAGTGCAGTGTGCTAAGTCTTAAAATAAAGAAAAAAATATAAATTAAATTCTTTATAAATTTAACAAGTTGTTTACGAAAAAAAACCTAGTCCAAAATAATCAAGTCAGAAATGATTAAATCAGTTGCCCAAGTGCAGTGTGTTAAGTCTTAAAATAAAGAAAAAAATCATTTACTGGTTGAAAGGGTGGTTAAGCTAATAATGAATTTTAAATTATCATTATTTCCATATAACTTTTCTGTAAATAATCATTCTCCACGGAAATATTGTCTGCCTGTGCTGCTAAATATAGGATCGAAGTTAATTCTACAAAATAACAACATTTTTTTACTCCATACTTTGAGTCTGATAGAACAAAGATGGTACAATTCTCCAAACAGGAATATCAGATAGAAATAACATAAAAGGAATTCATATAATTCAATAATAGGCCATTCTGAAATGCCCCCCCCCCCCCTTCTAATGGGATTATGAAAAGATTAAAAATTTTAATTTCTCGAAAAAAATTGAATAAATATTTCATTACAAAAACTTCACTACAGGCGGAAAAATATAGAAATGCAGGAAAACTCCTTGAAACCGATTCAAATTAAATATATTTATAGAGATAACCCAGCACCGCAGTATTTATTTTTTTAATTTTTAATAAATCCAAAAATACTAATTTGCAACTATGATCTGTGGTGAGAAGGAATGGTTTAAAATGCAAGGCTGAGGAACGGAAGACAACGGTTTCATCTAGCCAACAGGAACCTAGATACAGGAATCCGTCCTAGTCTATAGGCTCCGTAGCAACAAGATCCTAAAGTTAGAATAAAATATATTTTTAAATAATTTGAAATAAAGATACAAGAGATTTTGTTAAAGAAATTGAGTCTTTTGTCCCAAGCTCTAATTTTCTAATCTCTATAATCCAAGTTTAAAACATCAAAGGTTTACACCATCAGAATGCAAAGATATAGGACATTATTGACAAATTATAAACTATGAAGAATTGTTTAGTTTACCGATAAGCATAAAGCGGACTGCGAACTTGACAACTCGTTCTGTTTTAGTCGGAGGATCCACACGAACTATATCCCTAGAAAAATAGAATATTGTTTATGTCCAATTCTTTATAAGGTTTAAATATTCCTTCTTAAACAAGCGCCCCCCCCCCCCCCCGATTTACGTAAAAGTTCGTTAATTAAATCGACCCCCACCACCACTTTATACTCATATATTATATATACAATTTGTTTTAAATCTTCATGACATAAACTATCTCAAGGAATAATAATTGTCTTAAAACATTCTTTAAAAGTGAATCTTTGCAAATCATCTTTTTTACATATCATAATATGAGTTCGTTGCTTTGTAACAACATCAAATAGACTTAATTATTGATTTACAATCGTCTTCCAATTCTATAGTGTTCTGTTTCTCATTGTAGTCCAGCAACCAGCTTGAATTTATCCAAAGTTTGTTAAAAGTTCATGAGTTATTTAATCATTGGTTTTATACCCTGTACCCTGTCTTTAAACCGTCTCTCGTTGGTCAATAATGGACCAATGAGAAATCGGGAATTTTAAAATTTTAGCAATATTCCATTGACACATTTTTGAATCTAACGAGTTAAACTTTTTGTTAAAGTTTAGAACAAGAAGCTCAACCCATTTCAAATAAAAATTCCTTAGCGCTCAGATCGGATAAAATGAGACATATTTTTACCTGATCTGCTCTTTCGTAACTTTCCCCCAGTTCGCTACTATCCCTGGAACATGTCCTATACCAACTACTCCAACCACTACCCGGGGGGAGGGTACTCCACTCCCAGCAGAGTAGGACGGAAGGGAGTCAGCTGACATCTGGAGGGAGTGAGCTAGGAACAAGTCACGTTCAGATACAAACACCTAGGCGAGGAAAAACTTTAATATTTATTAGAACAGATAAGCTGTTGTTGTATTTACAAGAAATGGGTCCATTTCAGCGTAAGGAGATGGATATTTGTTATAAAATCGCCCTAAGAATGTAAGTCCTACAACTGTCTCATCATGAGGGAGGGGGAGGGGTGGGGGGGGGTAGATAATTTGATGAACATACTTAATAAACACAATATTTTACAGATATAACAGGAAAAATATTTATAATTTCTGCTCGGATTGGTGTCAAAATAGGGTATGTTAAAATTACCCTGGATAAGGCTGGGAACTCCCCTGCCATCTCCGCCAGCATATTCTCCAGCAGATCCCTCTGCTTGCACTTCTCCACCTCCTCCTTCGTTATGGTGTCCTGACAATATTTGTCGAGAAATAAGAAGAAAAATTGATAATTTTAAAGGACAAAATCGTCAAATTTCTAACAATAAAAATTTATTTCGGATTGATTTTTAGTAAGAATATTTGTAATTGACTGTTCAAAACTTGATTATCTTCATTCAAAATTCATAAAAAAAAGGGTAGAATGCAACAGTTTATAAGAAATAAAGACTTTTAAACTTTCGATTCATTTGAAAAAATGGAAAAATCAAACTAATAGATTGTTAAAATCTTTTAAGTTTTTTTCTTCAGTTTATTGTAATTAATAAAATATTGCGGATTGCGCAATAGATTAATGAAAATAATTGTCACGGGCGTATACAGGATGTAAATATTGATGCAGAAGGATATGAAAATTATCACAATTTTGTTGCGTGCTTTCCAGTTTCAATAAATATGAGAATTTAGAGTCCAGGCTCTACAAAATATCAGAAATAAGACAGCATTTAAAAAAATCGTTCATTTTATTTGGACTTAAATCATTTGAACTACAGAGCGTCCCATATCATATTAGATTATCTCCAATCTTAAACGCCAAAGTACGCACATAATACTCAAAACATCTGGCATTTTCTGCAAACAAAATTTTCTATTTGCCTTATCAAATTTTTCAAAATGATTAATTTTTCTTAAATTTCCTGATTTGTCCCCTAAATCGTAATTTATAGACCCATTGACGCGGTCTAGTTTGATGTGGAACACCCTGCACTATCTTAAAAACTATTGGATTTTGAAAAAATTTATTGACGGCATGATGCCATTTCCTGTAGTTCAAACAAAACATTTTTATTTATTTGAACCATTTTTGTTGTTTATTTTCTGGCAAAATGTGATATAATTGCCCACTTTAATCTTTATCTCAATCTTCTCTTTTAAACAAATATTGAATTATTTTACTACACTTGAAAACACATACGTAGTTTAATGCCGAGTCATAGAACACAGCTTAAACGTGACGCGATTGTTCACCTTTGCTGTAAAGTTTTCAGGGGTGTATATTTATTGAAAATCATTCCCCCCCTTTTCGAAAATAATTTTTTATAAATTAAATCAATGATTTTTTGAGAAAAATAAATCAATTTTTGGGTAAAATTGTGTAAAAGGGATGAAAAACTTGACTCGTGATGTTCAATTTTTCCATTTTCCCCCCAGGTCTTCAAAAAATATTTACGTGGTGGGTGTAAATTAGTTTCAGTCGAAGCTTGTTTGATCAAGTGATCAAAAATCAGTAGCGAACAAGGCAACAGTTTAATCAACATAGCTCATGCCTTCCATAGAGATAAACTGTCGTCTCCAAAATGATTTTTTTGACGGTGTTCATATCGTTACATGGTAGGATCCTACTCACTTGTCCCTCCCCCAGTAAACGCCCTTGAAACTACACACCTTGCTGGTAAGAATATTGAATCCTAGTCTGATTTTCTGCCAGACAGTTAGTCCCCCCAGAGCCCTTTGCAGAGTAATTCCTGATAAAGAAAAATACATAATTTTTCACTCAAAGGGTTTGTTAAATTTTTCATGCATTTTTCTCTGAACAGATATTCTAAATTTAACCTAGATATTCTAGACTTAAACCAGTTATGCAAGACTTAAACCAGATATTCTAAATTTAAAACCAGATATTCTAAACTTAAACTAGATATTCTAAACTTAAACTAAATATTCAAGACTTTAACCTGATATGCAAGACTTTAACCATATATTCTAAACTTAAACCAGATATTCTAAACTTAAACTAAATATTCAAGACTTTACCCAGTTATGCAAGACTTTAACCATATATTCTAAACTTAAACTAGATATTCTAAACTTAAACCAGAAACTCTAAACTTAAACCAGATATTCTAGACTTCCACCAGATATTCTAGACTTCAAACCAGATATTCTAGACTTAAAACCATATATTTGAAGCTTTAATATTCGAGAAACTTTAACATTTTTAATTTAAAATTCTACTAAATATGAAAATTAAAAAGCACTTTCGTGGATTACAGAAATATGTGTAATGTATATCTATGTTAATCAGGATCCTATATTAATCCTACCTATATCTAACCTAACCCTACTAAATCAGGATCCTATATTAATCCTACCTATATCTAACCTAGCCCTTTTATATCAGGATCCTATGTTAATTCTACCTATATCTAACCTAGCCCTTTTATATCAGGATTATATATTAATCCTACATATATCTAACCTAGCCCTTTTATATCAGGATCCTATATTAATCCTACATATATCTAACCTAGCCCTTTTATATCAGGATCCTAAAATTCTACATATATTCAACCCAACCCTACTAAATCAGGATCCTATAATAAACCTACCTATATCTAACCTAACCCTTCTATATCAGGATCCTACATTAATCCTACATATATCTAACCTAACCCTTCTATATCAGGATCCTATATTAATCCTACATATATCTAACCTAACCCTTCTATATCAGGAAACTATATTAATCCTACCTATATCTAACCTAACCCTACTATATCAGAATTCTATATTAATCCTATCTATGTTCAACCTAATCCTACTTTATCAGGATCCTATATATCAATCCTACCTATATCTAACCTAACCCTACTATATTGTTTTGAAATTAGGCATTTGATCTATTCCCATTTTACTATATATAGAATATGTACATTTCAAATTGCTACGCGCACGCACATATGTATGCCTGGATCCTAAGTATAGCTTCAGTAAGGCCTAAACCAACCATGGACGCTGATGTAAACTTACTTTGATTTCTTTCTTAATAGATGACATTCGTGTAATTAATTATATGAAATCATTATAAAAATTGTTCTTATCAATGTTATATTGTTGCTATAATTCTTTAATCTATTTCAGTTAAACATGCAAACTCTCTTCTACCAAGTAACACCATCTGAATAAAGAATAAAAGAAAACACAGTTTATATAGTGAGAGTAGTTTGAAACCGGTCATTCTAAAGAAATCAATACATATATCAGGATCCTATATTAACCCTACCTATATCCGAACTAACCCTACTTTATCAGGATCCTATATATCAATCCTACCTATATCCGAACTAACCCTACTGAATCAGGGATCCTGTATTAATCCTACCTATGTCTAACCTAACCCTTTTATAACAGAATCCTATATTAATCCTACCCATATCTAACCTAACCCTGTATAAAGAATCCTATGTTAAACCTACCTATGGGTCTATCACCAAGATGAACCATACACCTTGGAACTTTCTGTGCTTCCTTATATGCACTAAAAAATAATCACTTTACTAGATGATATGAGACTTAATTTAGATATTCAAAATTATTTTCAATAAATCTGTAAAATAAAAATTCAGACGCTTAAAGAAGTTATCCTAAAAGCTTGCATTTCATAAAATTTTTAAAAGAAAAAAAGCTAAATGGTAATCATAGATTACTTAATAAATCCGTGTCGTTACTCACATTCAGGAATTGCAACCATATATTTTCCAATTTCTAATGCTATAATTCATGAATTTTTGTATCATTAAAAGTACTCACGTTCGAAATTCCCCTCCTGGAGCCATTCCCAGCTCCTTAGTGATATGTGCAGACATGGATAGAAGAAGAAGATACATGACCCCCTGTAGTGTACCCTGCTGCCGGAGAACCTCTAGAGATCGTTCTAAACTAAGGTTTTGTGCCTCCTCCAGAATAGTTTCCTCATCAAGATGCAGGATATTTGTTCTCTACCAAGATACAATATTTTATTCAGAAAATTCAAAAATGATTTTCAAATTTTTTCTGGAATTTTCTATAATTATTTTTAATAAAATCCAGTTGCAGAATCAGATGACAAAATAATTAAGAATGAGTTATTTCTTTGTTCTTTGAGAGATAAAAATATTAAAGGGACTGTGCTTGTAATTTGATGTGACCCTTCTTTTAAAAATAGGCATACGTAATACGTATACCTTAGTCAAAAGTGTACCCTAAAAACCTTTATTCAATCAATTAGATAAAAAATCTATCTTGAAATAATCGATTTTCAAACTTAAAAAACATTGGTATCTCATTCTTTTATGATCATACAAAGCTTTGAAAGGGTATTGTTCTGAATCAAGTTGGGCAGAGTTGGATGAATAAAAATATTTCTGGTTCCTGTTTACAGAGTTCCACCATAACTATATCAGGTTGGGTTGCCTGGATTATCCTACTCACGTCCTCACAACTTTCCTTGGAGAAGTGAGCTGTACCAATCAGGTAAATCTTGGCTCCTGAACACATAATAAAACATGAGTTCTAATGAGAACTGTTCAATTTTTATCGAAAATCTAAATAATTTTTCTTAATTAAAATCACAGTTATATATATTTTTAAGTTTCTTTTCTCCTGGGAGTGAATCAATATTTTTTCTTTTGATAGAAAATGTAAATAAATGTACTTGACGGGCTTGACATTTCTAAAGATTATTATTACATAAATCTTTATTGGGTCTAATGTGAGACAAAAAATATCAATAGTGATTATTAGATTAAAAATTATCTAGTTCAGATTAAGTCGCGTTTAACTAAATAATATAATTTAAGACACATGTATTAACGAGTTTAACATTTCTAAAGATGGAAGATAATTTTGTTGATCAATATGACCCAATTCAAATATTGCGTTACGTGGTCAATTTAGTGAAGTACATTCAATATAAAAATTACAAAAAAAGACGAAGAATTAAAATATTTTCATAGTTCTGACCTGAAACTGAAGAGACTAGAACTTGAACTGTGTCTGGTAGATCAGGAGAAGATATTCTTGCTTTCTTATTTACCATCCCCTCATACCGTGGGTAACCTAAACACATTCAGTTTTGGTGTACATCAAAAGTTAGGATTTTGAATAAATAAAACCCGATCTTCCAAGAACAAAAATTTTCTTGATATTCTCAGTTCTCCCAAGACAAATCCGCGAATGACAAGACACTGAGCATTACTGTGTGGGAAAAATTAAGATCGGTTATTATTAAGAATTAAGTTAGTTTACTCGATGTAAAGATTGCTGTGATTATGTTGTTATTTGGGTTTATGTTTTTCTACACACATCCCTTCTAATTAACCTGGCTACACAGTACACTTATCTACTAAAAAACCTGGCTATATCTAACCAAGATAAAGGAGTAATACTAACCTGCACCGGAAAAATTATGAAGATGCTGGAGAGCGTCTTCAACTCCAATTAAGTTATCCTCGACATCCGACAACTCACCGGGACTAATCTAAACACTTCAAGAGTAAATATTATCCTTTCTCCACATACACCTCCATATCCACCTCCATCTCCGCCTCCATTTTTCTAACCAAATTTTCCAATTCAACCCTCCAATTGGAGTAAACATTCTTTAGGTTTAGCACTCCAAGATAGTCCTCTTGAGAGTGCTATTCAGAAGGTTTTAGCTCCACCCCTTTTGTTACCTGGGACTCCAACATCTCATCGAAGGGTCGCTTAGATACAACCTCATCCTGATTGCTTCTTTCAAACTTCTTTTCCTCAACTTGATTAACCTCCGTCCCGTTCTCAAGAATTTGTTTCTCCTCCTTCCATAAACATATTTGTAAAGCATATACTTTAAATAATCTTAGAAAATCTGTCAAATTACAAAATCCGGGAAAACAATTGGATTTTTTAAACAGAGTTTAATGAAAGTTCACAAATAAAGTTTTCCTTTTCTCCGAACCCTTCCACAACCTCATCTTGTAGTTTTCTACTGTGGTCCGCCAGCTCTCGACTTAGTTCAGATACCGTGGTTTCCCTTAACAAAGAAACAAGTTTTATAACAGAGATCTTTCCTTTGCTAAAGGTTTAGGATTGCAATTTAAGCATATCATTTTCAATATCCCATAATTCATTTTCAAATGTATCTCAGCCCCCCCCCCTCCCCCTCTTTCAATAATGACAATCTTCTTTGATCTCTAAGCTCCTATCTTCCTTCTTAATTACTTTCATTTCCCCATCTCTACACATCCAACCATTCCACCATCTTTCCCAATCGCTTCCCAACCAAATATCTCACCATCTTCACCATTCTAACAGTTTCTCCATCTAATCATCTTACCATCTTACCATCTTACCATCTTACCATCTTACCATCTTACCATCTTACCATCTTACCATCTTACCATCTTACCATCTTACCATCTCACCATCTTACCATCTTACCGTTTTACCATCTTACCATCTCACCATCTCACCATCTCACCATCTTCACCATCTTCACCATCTTACCATCTAACCATCTTAATCCTACCCATCCTACCCATCCTTCCCATCCTACCCATCCTTCTCATCCTACCCTTCCCAATCTCTTCCAATCCAACTATTTTCCAACTTCTCTACATCCAACCATTTTCTGAATCCCTCAATATAACAATTTTTCCATCTCTCTCCATCCAACTATATTCCCATCTCCCTCGATCTAACCATTTTCCATCTCTCTCAATCCAACCATTTTCCAATTTCTCATTATCCCACCAACAATTTTTCCCATTTCTCCTAATGCAATAATGTTAATATCTCCCTCGATAAAACTATTTTCTCTTCAACGATCCAACCATTTTCGCATTTTCCCTTTATCCCACTTTTTCCCCATCTCTTTCTATTCAATTGTTTTCCCATATCTCTCCATCCACCTATTTTCCCATCTCTCGATCCAACCATTTTCCAATCACTCTCCATCCAACTGTTTTCACATCTCTTTAATCCAACCATTTCCCCATCTCTCTCCATTTAACCATTTCCCCTTCTCTCTCCAACAAAATATTTTCCAATGTCTTTTCATGCAATCATTTTACCATCACTATCCATCTAACTATTTTCTCATCTCTCTCCATCCAACATGTTTTTTCATTAAACCGTTTTCTCATCTCTCTTCATACAATTCTTTTTTTCCCATCTCGTTTTTATTCAACCATTTCTCCATCTCTCTCAAACCAACCAGTTCCGAATTTCTTTCCATTTAAACTTTTCTCCAGAATTTAACAACTCTCTGTTACCCTTCATTAACCTTTTCATATCTCTTTACAATTTCTGAACAGAATTTTCTAAATAGACAAATTGTTTCTTTTCAATTTTACCAAGAAGCTTAGTTAGTAAAATAAACAGTATATCCTTAGATATTTTTCAGAGAATTAAAATTATGAATATTAATTGGAAAAAAAAATAACTCTCCAAATAGCAAACCATATTATAAAAGTTCTTAAATTTACATTGCAATGGATGATAAATCAATGGATAAATGACAGACTAAATGGCTATGATTTAATAAAAAATTTTGATAACGATTTATAATATTAAAAATTTTTCTTTAAGTGCGGGGTATTGATTTTTAAATTAGCATTGTTGGGTTTTATTTTTGTTTTATTAAATTATCATTTATATTTTAAAAGGTTTTAATCTAAACTTTACAGTTAAAAGAATCTCAGCTTTACTTAGGTAACATCACATAAAAAAGTAGTGTCGAAAACCTGTTGAGACAATTTAAAGAAATGAAGAATTTTGATGTTGTATATTTGGTAAATAAACAATTTTTTTTTAATTAGATTTTTCTGATGTTACTTTCAAAATTTGAAAATATAAATCTAGATATGTTGTTAATTTCGTCAAAGTTTAAATGGTTCAGCAAACATATTCATCTATAAAGTTTAAGGTTTCACCTAAATAAAGAACCAAATTTATTGTGAATGTGATCTACTGTACATTTTTCTAGTCACAATGGTGTATAATATATATATATATCGGAAATCCACCCCCTTATGGAGTTTTTTAGGTTATCATAAACTAAAAAATTAAGAATATTTTGTATTAGATTTTTTTTTAATGCAAAAATTTTAACATTCAGATAAAATGTTAAGGAAATAGGCCAGGGGTGGGAGAGGGGATAGTTAAAAATGTTAAGGAAAGGGGCCAGGGGAGGGGGGAGTTAAAAATTTTAAGGAAAGGGGCCAGGGGGGAGGGGGTAGTTAAAAATGTTAAGGATAGGGGCCAGAGGTGGGGGAGGGGGTAGTTAAAAATGTTTTGAGAAGAGTGTAAACCCTGTTTACCTGATGGTATTGTCCCTGGAGAATGTTAAACTTGAATCTGAGGTAAGGAGCTGACTAGCTCTACTCACAGATTTATCATCAGCAGACAGTTCCAAGGTTCTATCCTCGTGTCTGTCTCCTTCAGCGTACACCAACCCACCGGATTTAGCTGGGGTTTGTAAACTGAAAAAAAAAACAATGAATTCAAGCACTTTTAATGTAATATTTGAGGGTTCATCCCATGACCCACACCCCTGTTTTAGTATAAGTTAAAGATTCCGTTTGTTGTCTACCGCTGATTTGAAAAGTAATCTCTGATTGGATAATGTTATATGAATATGGCTTTAAAAAAGGAGAAACCAAATGTAAAGTAAAAAAAGAACAAAAAAGATAAATTGCCAAAAGAAAGATAAAAAAAGTAAAAAAAAAAACCCTAAAAACCTAAAAGAATAGTTCATGAATTTAGAAAAAAATTTAAAAAAAAGAACCCATCTTTTATATAATTTTTACGTATATGCAATATGCATTAAATAATGCCTTATTTTACTAACAGAAGATAAAAAGAATTTTCTAATGCAGGTTTAATATGTTAACCAATAAGGGTGATCAATATTGAAATTGAGCTAACACCTCCCACCGGAGGTCGCTGCGTTTTCACTTAAGTTTTTTTAAGTAAAACGCAGCGACCTCGGGTGGGCGGCTGGCTGATTTCTAAAAAAATTCACAAATCAATCACCCTTAATAACAATGCTTAGGATCCATTCAATTTTGATGCGGATTCGGATCCGGATCCAAATCCGGATCCGGATCAAGGTCATTTCTTTCAGATTTACTGAATTTTTTTATCAAAAAATAATTTTCAAATTTTTTTTTATTTTTTTTGCTTATTTTTATCCTAAAACTTGATGAACCATTCAGAAATGAGGAAATTTTTATAATCTTTCTTTTTTCAAAAGTTCAGATTTGTGGTTTAGGATCCAGTTTGCAGTTTTTGGTTGATATTTTACCCCTTGGATCCGCATATTTTTGCGGATCCGGATCCAGGATGCCAAAATCTTGCGGATCCAACGGATCCGAATCCGGATCCTAAGCACTGTTTGTTTGAATCCAATAAAAGTCCAAACGGATGAACCGATCAGGCCCAAATTTTGTAGCGGACCTCACATGACCCCAGGGAAAGTTTATGGAGGATCAAATTTTCGAAAATTAGCTTCTAACAAAATTCGATTGTCATTAAATTTTGAAAATCCAAAAAAAAAATTTATAAAATCCGCGAACTTTTTTGTTTTTTGTTTTTTTTAAACATCAAGTATTCCAAGTAAGTACAATGCAATGTATACAAAGAGAAAATGTTCACAATTGAAATAGATGATGAAATCCTAGTCCTGATAAGTTAATTGTATATTTTCATGAATAATTAATGGTAAAACAAATGAAATAAAATGAGGAAGTATAATGGACCTGGTGACGTAATTATCATTACTGATCTCTGCACTCGCCTCTGGTCCCTCTGTATCACTAGACCCATCACTTAATAAAAATAATATTTAAAATATCACAGAATTTAAAAAAATGCTTTTAAAAAAATTATTTTCCCAAAAACCTCAGCCAGAGACAGATGGTGAACAAATTCCACTATATATAGACACCGTAAGAAGCTTAGTTTTTGGAAAGTGAGAAATCATTTTTAATAGTTGATCTTTTAGTATAGTTTCGTCATTATATGAATTTGGATATGAATTATGAATATGATTATGAAAGATTTAATCACACACAAAGATTATACATATGAATATATAAATGGTGTAGTCTTAAATTTGTATAAATATGGTTTCACGGTTAAATAAAAAATAATTGAATTATTGACGTTTTTCTTTACATGTTTTTTTCGACCCTACCTAATTGCTTCGTCGTCAGATATATCTTCAACATCATCATTCTTAGTACTGAAATACAATCACGGTCTAGTGTATTTTGTATTTCATCCAAAGTCCAAGGTAATACATGTGTCCAGTCCAGTCCAGGGTTAAGGAAGAGTTTATAGTCCAAAAGGGGGGTAGAAGAATTGTTTAAGGTCCAAAGTACGTGGATGAGAGTTATAAAAGGGATTTATAAATACAAAATTCCAAGGTACAGGTTTAGGGACGAATTTAAGGTCCAAAAGTCCAGAGAGTAAGGTAAGAGAAAATTTGAAGTCTACAGACCAAGTTCAGTTCAAGATCAGCGTTGGACAAGCATCGCCCCACTTTTAATACTAATTATTTTTTAAATATTTTTATTCTAATTTGAGTTGTGTGGTTTAAAGATTATTGTAATTCCAAAAATGATGTTTGGTCCTGCAGATGTCAGGAACACTTCTAGATAGTAGTTTTCACCTGCTTAATACAGAACTGTGGTCTAGATCTATTGAGCTGTTCTGAGACTCCATGGTAATTCTGAAATATCACAATAAATTATATAGTAGATAAAGACAAGAGATCGTGTATTTGATGGGTTTTGCATGGGTTTAATATCTGAATTTAAACTTAAACAAAGGTACTTAGTTTTCTATGTAAACAATAACAAGGCATTCATTTTGGTGAACATTTAATGGGCATTTGATTTACGTAACTAATAATTGGTTCATACGGGAGGTTCCATAAAACATGATAATTACTTGATCAAGACCAAGACCAGGGGGGGGGGCTTGGATCAGTGAAATCTATGGTTTCCAGGGGGTTTCTAGGCCCCAAGAGGTGATTTTAAGCCACCACTACCCCCAACAAATTCCTGAATTCGCCCCTGATCAAGACAGGTCTTTGAAACGGTCTCTAAAACGCGACATTAATTCAATGATTTTCCTAGGTTGCTAGGTTGCATTGGTGGAAGAAAACAAAATAGAATATAAATAAATGTAGAATTGGATTATCAGATTTCAACTGTGAGTAGGTTGTACGAGCTAAATTCTTCTCGGGTTTTCAATTGTGACGATAATTTTTGTTTTCGGTGATTTCGAAGGTGCTATTAACTGGAATGCTTAAAGAGACTCTACGTGGTCTGCCTTTAGACTGACATCTGAGTTTATAACTATTTCTTCCTGAACATGAAAACTCCGGTAAACATTGGAAAATATTTCTGAAATGTAATACGAGGAAAAAAGAAAATATACGTTCAATATTTTTTGATATTTTTGATCAGACAGAAATCATTTTCTTACAAAATCCAGCGATTAAAAACTATTGCCTAAGGCATCTATCATTAGGAGAAAAAAAATCCATAAAATATAATTTCAGTTTGTCACTTAATTCTGACTTAATCCAAATATCTTGATTTCTTGCCAATTTTTAAAATGCTTGAGAAGTATCACTAATATATAATCTTAAAATATCACAATTGAACTGCATGCTCTAAGTGTGTATTGTTGACTATTACCAATTTGTCAACACTATTTGTCATTTATCATTATTTTGAACTAAGCGCCCCTGAATTCTAATTTAAATCTCGGAGTTTCAATCCTTAGTGAACTCCTCTGCGTTGGATTGACTGGAGTTAAGGAATGAATCCAGGTCCTCCTCTATATCCTCACTCACGGAGAAATCATCAGAATATTTATCTGAATTCTTGTCTCCAGTACCCTCTTTATTCTGCAAGAAAAAATAGAACTCCAATTTTTGTCATTTTTGAATAAACTATTCAAGGAATCCAGGCTTTAATAATAAATAAAAATGCGATTTTGAAAGAAAGTTAAATTCAATAATTGAGACAATTATTAATGAAATTATTTAAAGCCTTCCAACTTTGTTTATTAAACAGCTATGAATTGTTAAAATCTTAAGACTGGGCAGGTTGAATAATTGGAAGAACATTCCTACACTAGCTTTTGTGTAATATTGATAAATAAAAATATCTCTTCATCTTCTTTTTAATAGATTTTTCCTGTTTTATAATGTTGCTTTGAAGTAAGGATAAAACTAAACTTTAAGAACCAAAAACTAGTCCAAGGTTTCTCCCAGAGCTTTGAGTCAGTTTACCTGACCCAACTCACCTGCCACTTTGGAAAACAAATTTTGAGCAAATATTTCCCATTTTGGGGAGTAATCTGCCCATTTAGAGAACATTATCTACCTAGTGATGGAAGTAAATGTGAATTTGAACCAAAAATGCCAATCGACATATTTAGTTGGTAACATTAATCTTATTTCACGAAAATATTTAGTTGGTAACATTAATCTTATTTCATGAAAATATTTAGTTGGTAACATTAATCTTATTTCATGAAAATATTTAGTTGGTAACATTAATCTTATTTCATGAAAATCACACTCAAAACCAATTATTTGTTGTAATTTGTGAGGGGGGATTTCTGCCACATTTTCGTTCAACCTGACCTGTCACAAAAACCTGGGAGAAACCCTGTACTAAAAGATAACTTTTACCTTATCTCTAGAAAATAATGTATTTTCCTTTTCAGAAATCACGTGATCTTTCCCGAACCCAAGGTTTGGCAATTCTTTCCGTCCAGAATGAGATAAGTTCTTGTCCGGGGTTTGATCTAGGGAGGCGTGCGGAGACGGATCAGATTCTTTCTTGGATTCTGGTTTAGAGAGAGGTTGAATCTTCTTCAGCGGAGATAATCCCAAGGTTCGGGAACCCGACAAAGGGGGAAGATTACCTAAAACGTGTGAGTTTAAAGTTTGTTGCAAAATAAAACCGAAAAAACAATCTCGTATCGTCATGATTTTCCCTTTTAAATATAATTTAAATATTTTTATAAAATAATCCATTCGAATAACCCATAGATTTAAATCTTATTTCCTTACACATAAATTCAGGTTAGGCGAAACTAATATCAAGTGGTAATTCAATCAATCTTCAGAAATATATTGTAGTTTTGAAGACGTTCAGGAAAACTGGACAATCGACAAAAACCAAACAATACATTTTTTAAAACTTTGTTATAAAAGATATTAGTTTTACCTAGTTGGGAGGAGAGAGAACCAAGCGGAGGAAGATCACTCAGAGGAGATAATTCTTTTCGTTTCAATTTATCTCCGGGATTAATTTCATCTGTATTCAATCTATCTCCAGGTTTCAGCAAACTATCTCCAGGCGGCTCTTCATCTTTTCTTAATTTATCTCCGGGTTGGAGTTCATTCTTCTTCAAGGTTCTGGGTTTCTCCTCCAGGGGATTAATTGTAGAGGATGATTCTTTGGCAAGATTCCGTATGTTTACTCCTGGAGTTATAGAAGTTTCAATACTTTCATCTGAAGTGTCCTCAACCCTAGAGCACTTCTTATAATCACTATAGCAGTAGAAACAACAGTGAGGAATTCAAGTAAAAAAATATATATGAGTGACATACATAATTCAATAAAAACAATTATTGAGTAAATTTATATTTTTTTTGCTAAAACTCGATGAACCATTTAGAGATAAGGAAAATGTTGTTAATCTCTCTTTTGTTGACAGGTCAGATTTTGTTTTAAAAATTAAAGGTTTTTTTAAAGTTTTGATAAAGGGTTGATATTTTGCCCCTTGGGTCCTTATCCGAATCCTGAGCACTGGTGAGTGGGAATGGATAATTGTCTTTACTGTTTGTTTCCTATTCCTTAGTTTGTGAGGAGGATCCCCCCTGGACGGATCTTCAGCTAAAGATGTTTGGTTGGACGTATTCTCATCTTCAACAGATATTTCAGTTGGAGTTGGACTCTCAGACTTTAAAACAGAAACCTTCGAGAGGCGCATAATTTCATTGAGAAGAGGTAACTTGGGATCCACCAGCTCTGTAAGTCCAAGGGCATCAATAAGTTTACTCCGTCCCCGATATCTGAAATCCTTCCCGATGTTTGTCTCTGGATCAAAAACTGCCAATGTGAAGTCAAGATTGAAAAACTCGAGAAATTCTCTGCAAAGACATAAATTTATCATATTTACAATTATATGTATTCTATACTTTACAGACAAACAGAAAAGGGGTACGTATACATTTTCAAGAAATACCCCAAGCTGGGGAGCGGAATGATTTTCGAGAATTTTGGTAAAAATAAAAAAAGGGAAATTAAAAATTCCTGCATTTTTATTATGAATAAAAATATATTACTTCTTTCAAGAGTTAACCTGACAACTCAAGAGTATATAAACCCCTGGAGTCTCAATCTTTTTAAACTAAGATGATATGATATATAATAATGTCCCTGACTAGACTAGCGACCAGTCTCCCAGTTGTAGTATCCAGGTACTGTCGGAGACCAGGGTTCACTAGACCGGAGTTAGAACTAACCTCACCACACTCAAGCGCGCTGTACACATGCGCCCGCAGTTGAGCCTTCAGCTTACCAAGCACTCCAGAATTATCTTTAAAAAAATTAGGCAACGAGCAAGGAAAACTGAGAACCTGCGGATGAGCAGGTTGAAAAAGGAGAAAAAAGAAGAATTATAAAAATGAAATAAAAACTCTTCTATAATATGCGCTATATTGACCGCAATTACAATTTGTATTATTATCATATACGTAACTATTCTAAAAAGCACTCATTAAACGTTTCTGAGTGACAATGGTAGAGCCATTAAAAAATTGATAAAGCGACAATTTCTAGATCATTGTTTTCAATGTAAAGGTTAAAAAATATTAAGTTACTATTGTAAATCAATTATAGATTTTCCAAATTGACGAACAATCTTTAAAAAAAAATCTGCGTTATGGTCATTTCCCAACAAATTTTCCCCCGTCACAACTTCGCCAACAGCAATTTACCCAACCGCTTAGTGCCAACATTATGACGCTAAGCAAACTGGATTGTGTACTTCAAATATGAAAAAAGATGGTAATTTTTCATTTTCAATTTGCGTATTTGAGATATCAGACATGATGAATTCATTACAAAACAAGTAAAAACGGAAATATTTATATTTTACTCAATGGCGAAATTGTTGTCGGGGAAGTTGTGAATAGGAAAATTAGTGATTGGAGAAGTTGATGTTGGGGAAATAAGAGGTTAGGGAAAATGCTGTTGAGGAAATTGCCTCGGGGAAGTTGTGACTGGAGAAGTTGCGTTGGGGAAGTAACCTACCACCGAATATAACTACCTAGGACGGTGGAAACAAGATCTCGTAGTTCAACATCCTCCTCCGTCACTGTAGACATTTTTTCTGAAATTATAAAATCTTTAGAATATAAATAATTTTCTAAATACAGAACATGATTCATGATAATTGCATTTTGTGGTTTGAGAACATGCTTTCAGGGTATTTGGGTTCGATCATCATACATAATTTTAAAAATCTACTTTTGCTGTTTTAAAAAAATCTTTAAAAACCAGGAAGACTGTTTTAAATTAATAAACGAGAAGAGACATTCAAAAAAACATTTTGGCCGAAATAACATTTTTAAAAACTATTCACTATTTACACAGATATTTTAACTTTGAAGATCAATAATAACTCGAGTTTTATAGTTAAGTTTTGTTGACAAAATTCTAGTTCACTGCTTCTCCTGAGCTCATAAATAATGAAGAAGATAAAATTTTAAATTACTTGCGCAGAATTCAATTAATTCTTTTACTTTATTGGTTACCAGCTCTGATTTCTTTTTTTAAATTTTATAAAATAAATACAAAGATCTCTTCAGGTCGTCCAGAAATCACAGCTGTAATTTGTATCCAGGGAAAATAGAATCAAGGAATTTCTCCAGATTCTCCTGGATTTATCAGGATGAAAAAAGAACGCATTTAAGTCATGATAAATTTTTAATTTCTCCAAATTGTTTTGTTTCGTTTAAATGCTATCGTCACCAGAATTCAAAATCCCAGCTTTTCTCTTGCTCTCCTTAACATTTCCAAATGTAGAATATGATTTAGAAGTAAAGGATACAGAGGCCAAATTTATAGAATTTAAGCCGCGGCTTAAATTTGATACGCGACTCAAATATGGTTGGTTCCACTTCAAATTAAATTCAATGTTTTAAATCTAAGCCGGCACTCAATTAAACCCGGTGTTTAGCGGATATGAGACGCGGCTCAAATTTATTAAATTCGGACTCTTTGTTAAAAAATATTATTTATCCATTTCAAAAAAAAAAATTCATTGGTTTTCAGACAAGAATACCTTTTTTTAATTCATGGATTTGAATGCAACAAAATGTATGTTAATACATATCAAACGCCACTAGTGGTGGTAATTGGGATTATGCTTGATCCACTCTTTTTCTTAATCTCTAGATTAAAATGCTTGTTCTGCTCTTGTTATGAATCTCTGATTATTTAACCGATCGGGAATAAGGATATCTGATTCTAAAGTTTTCAGCTCTGGTTCCTTTAATCACCCAGAGCTGAAAACTTTATAATCCTGGATATTGAAATCAATGTTTGATCTCCTCTTTTTGTTAATCTTCAGATTATTATAATCTTTATCCACTAAATGGCTTAAATTCTACCAATTAGAGATAAAAAAATCTTAAGTTTTCACAGTGGATATTCAGATTAAACGATCGAGATTAAGGGTATCCAATTCTAAAGTGTCCAGAGCTGAAAACTTTAGAGTGGGATATCCTTTATCCCGATCGGTTAATTAATCTGGAGATCAATAATAAGAGGAGAACATGCATTATATAATCTCGAGATTGAGAAAAAGAGTAGATCAAGCATTAATCCCGATATCCACCATTCAAAAGTTCCGATATCAGCTCAGGTTCCTTTAATTACCTACTATTCCACGTGGCAATGAAGAATGTTCTGGAGTTGTGGTTTTCCACGCTAAACTTCTCCTCGAATATATTTTTATTTCTAGGATATCCTGGAGTTCGTCGTGGATCTTCTAAACCCTGAAAATAAATAAAAGGTTATAAAGTAGAACTTAAGCCCAGACATTCAGACAGACGGCGGACAGAAAATGTTTGATCACAAAGTTTGACAACTTACGTTTGATCTGAGCCAAGGTTCAGCCGGATTCGTTATCCTTTGCTCAAAGGGGATTCTTGGAACCTGAAATTAAAAACATTTATTTGAAAGAAGCAACTATTCTACTTTATATTTTCAGTATCGTACATAATAGCATTTACCTAACTCTCTACCTAAACACCTCAGCACCTACCCAGACATATTAGCACCTACTTAAACACCTAAGCACCTACCTAAACACTACTTAAACACCTCAGCGCCTACCTAAACACCTTAGCACCTACCTAAACACCTCAGCCCCTACCTAAAGACCTCAGCACCTACCTAAACATCTTAGCACCTACCTAAACATCTCAGCACCTACCTAAACACCTCAGCATCTACCTAAACACCTCAGCACCTACCTAAACACCTCAGCACCTACCTAAACACCTCAGCACCTACCTAAACATCTCAGCACCTGCCTAAACATCTCAGCACTTACCTAAACATCTCAGCACCTACCTAAACATCTCAGCACCTTCCTAAACGCCTCAGCACTTACCTAAACATCTCAGCACCTACCTAAACATCTCAGCACCTACCTAAACGCCTCAGCACCTACCTGAACATCTCAGAACCTACCTGAACACCTCACCACCTACCTAAACACCTCAGAACCTACCTAAACCCCTTAGCACCTACCTAAACACCTCAGCATTTACCTCATGATCCATTATTTCAATCTTTTTAGTATTCCTGTCTTGTTTAAAGTTAGCGTAGAAGCTGAGTTTATTGCAGAGCTCGTCTTTGTTATCATGGTTCTAGGATTCAAAGTTTATTCTAGATTTTAAATATATCAGATGCCGAAACTTTTTAATGGATAATCTTATCAGTAAATACAATCAGTTTCTTTTTTAGTACGTCGATTAGACAGACCATTAAAGATAAAAATAAAATACCTTTTCATTTCAAAGATCTAAATATCTACTTTAGAAAGAATATGTTTTAATCCTAATTCTAAATAAACATTTCCTTTGAGAATTTATTGTTTCTGAATCCGAAGCATTGATGGAGGTCTCCACTTTTACATTCCCCAGTTCCACAGCGTCTACTTATCTCCAGTCTTAAATATTGATTTGAATTCAATAATTGTATAGAACTGCATCAAAAAGATAAATAAAAAAAAATTTTTTTATTTTTCTTTCTCTATGATAGTTGTCTGAAAATGTGTGAGGTACAAAAACAAAATTGAGTAAACTTAAATTAGAGTTAATTCCCTTTACTAAAAAAAAGAGGCGCGAAGCGTCAAGAAATTCTACCTGGAACAAGAGTTTACGTGAATTCCGTTCCAGAAGCATTGAAGACTACTGCAGGTGTCCGGATGTGCTACCTCGCCAAGAATCTCAATACCATCATCTTCATCTGAATATAATCAGTGAGTTTGGCGGATTTTTTAAAATACCTTTATATCGTATTTCTGTTGAGCTCATAATCTAAAAACAAAGAGAACATATTTTTTTGACTCGTCCCCATTACTGTCTCAAAAAAAGTTTTCGACTTTTATATTTCAAGACGAAAATTTTGTGTTTTTTCTTCTCTTACATTTGTGAATTATTCAAATTATTCATCGTTTATCATGGAGAAAAGCCGAAGCGGGGGAATTTAATTGTATAATGAAGTTTAATACCAAGATTTGAACCCTAGAATAAAATTTTTAAAAAGCATGAACCAAATTGAAAAACGCCAGAAATAGTTCTGTTCCGGGCCGACTGCCATGCAGTTAGTCTCCCTCTGGGATAATGGCCCAGCATTATTCTTGAATACGCTAGGAGTAGAAGAGGGGCACCAGCCCCGATTTCATTGATCGACGGGTCGTCTTTTAATAATAATAAAAGATTACCTCCTACATCCATATACTCGGGAGAATTCGGAGTAATCACAGAATGCTTAATATCAGTTTCCATCCCGTATTCAGCAATATCATTCTCCGTCCCAGGTTGAGCATTCTCATGTGTACTAGATACATTTCCAACCATTTTTAGAACATTTCGGAGTGCATCATTCTCTAGCAATAGATTTAAGTACGGGACTTGAGGTAGAGAGGCACTACTGGAGGTCATGCTGGGAGCTATAATTTGGGACTGAGATGTGTTAAATAATGGCGGAGGGGGATTAGAGTAGTTTTCCATTGGCGCCGAGTTGGCGAATTCCATGTTAGGCGGCGATGTACGATGCTCAGGAGGATAAGTTTCCCAGGGAGAACTTCGTCCTGGCATAGAACTATGAGATCTAGATGTTTCCACCATTTTTTCCTGATCAGAATGAGTTTCCGATGTGGACGTATCGGCGATATATCTGAGAGTTGAAAACATTAATTTAAGGTAATTAATAAATCCGAAATTAATTTCTAAAAATACTTTTTGTGTAAAAATAACTCTATGTAAAAAAAATACTTTTTGTGTAAAAAAACTTTTTGTAGCAAAAAATACTTTTTGTGTGAAACAGAACTTTTTGTGCTAAAAAATACTTTTAGTATCTAAAACTTTTTCCAATAAAAGGTTTCAACTCGCCTTCGCTCTTTCTTGATCTGTAGAAGATCTCTAGGAGCACTATAAGGTTTATGAGTAGAAGAGAGAGTAGATGAAGTATATAGACTTGATGCAGATAAGTTTACGCCAGGCTCAGATTCTACGGTTTCCTGTTTAATCAGTCTCTGTGGCAGAAGAGGTGGTACCTACATCCAGTCAAATATGTATGTTAAATTCCGTCAGGGAAAAAAGTAATATAATTTAACCTGTGACCAAAGCCACAGGACCTTACCAAACTTTTATTTTGACCACAAATATATAATTATTAATAGTGTACTAGGCATCGATGATGGGCGCTTCGATTTAAACATTTTAAGTGAATTTTGAAAAATCAATTTTTTTATTCTAGCCATCCATAAAAATTTCCTGGTTTCATGAAAAAATGTGGGCCCAATCAGTCCAGCCGTGTTGACGTTTTTCGGATACAAACGGAGAGACAGATTATTAGCAAAGTATATAGATAGATATAGATATTCTGGTTTTTATCAATATAAACATTAGACTTTCAAATTACATGCTTAAAATTAAAATTAAGAATATTTTTTCCTCTTAAATCCTTCATTTTCCCCAATTATTACCACTTAGCATTTTTAACGTTGGGGGGGGGGCGGTTTTTGAAGAAATTTAAAGCTTTTTTAAGAAGTTTATGCACTAAACAATCAACATATTTGTTTCCTGAAAGTCTGAAGATTTAGCAGTATCGTAAACCCTGGTGAGAATCTCTTGGCTTGGAAAACACCGTTTTCCCGGGTTCTGATTTCTCTCCACGTGTAGAATTAGATCCTCCTTGGTCCTAAACCTAGCCATACAACCCCTGCACCAGGATATCCTGTGCTCTTCTTGATCCTTCTTCTTCAGTTTAGGATAGCAGGCATGCTAAATATTTTTCAAAATTTAAATATTTTTAACCCCGGAAAATCATTTATTGAGTTGATGGAGCTTTAAAAAAGAATCGAGAAATTTGGATAATCTTGCAACAAAATATAACTTATATATGCAAAGAGCTCATAACCGTGTTTGAAATTCTTACCGCAAACTGTAAGAAAAGTGGGGAAAACTAGTATAAAAGGATTGCATAGTAGTTTGGTTAAGTATTAATTCTTCTATATTTACCAACATATGAAGCTCGAATTCCGAGTCTGATGAGCAATTAAGAGTAAGGCATTTAGTGCAGGAATATCCTTTCAAAACTTTAGGAAACTCGACAATATTCATCTCCGTCATCTTCTTCTGCAACTCATCCTTACTAAACAAAATAGTAAGTAAGTAAGTAAGTAAGTAAGTAAGTAAGTAAGTAAGTAAGTAAGTAAGTAAGTAAGTAAGTAAGTAAGTAAGTAAGTAAGCAAGCAAGCAAGTAAGTTGAGTAATTTTTTTTATAAAACTAGCTTTTGGAATTCCAGCTAAGTTTTTCTTATAAAAATTAAACCAACTTTTTTAAACTAGACTAAGAACATTTCCGTGGTTCTATGGAGTTCTTTAATCAAAATTTGAGGCAAATCGGTCAAGGGGAACTGAGTTATGATCGGACATCCAAAAAGACAAACAAAAAGTGGAGATGGATTGTTTTAAAGTTGTTGGAGAAATAAATAGGTTTAGGACCAGATATTATTCTTTAAGTGAAATTGGGTAAAATGAAGACTTCAGGGGTAACAACTTATCCCTCGGAGTCGGGACTCAGGGGAAAGCGGGGTCTGATTTTTGAAAGATCTATCAAGAAAAATAAAAAAATCATGCAAGGTACTATGTGCACATAAAAAATAATTAGAGGGGAGTGTGATTTTTTTAGGTAATTATTATTAATTTACCATTAAATTATCTTAAAATTTAAATATTTTTTGTTCTTCAAACTAAAATTGAAGCTAATAATATATATTTTTTCTATGTCGTTTAAAAAATACATATTCTTCATATTTATATTATTTATGAATGTATGACTGTCCTACCTGAAATCCATCCTGGCAAAATGTGCGACCACCTCCTCAATATCGCTGTACCATATATCCGAGGGTACCTTCACATGGTAGGATTCGGGATGGGTTCGAATATGATGGTTGGCAGCATCCTTCAAACAAGAATCTTATGTTAGAACTATATTCTAAAAAGGTATTTTATTTGAAACCAAGTCGATACAAGGACAAATATTTCAGGAGAATTAGACTAGTAAGGTAATCTAATATATTAGTTTAATAACATAAAAATGATACTAAAACACGTTATTAAAACCTCAATGAAAAAAAGCTGTCAACAAAAGTTTTTAAATAAGGGTAAACTCCAGGGGTGAATACAGGATTGAAGTGAGGGGTGTGGTAGATTTATTTAGGAACCAAAAAAATCCAGATCTAGGAACCAAAAGACACGCCGCAGACGAAATTCTTTTTAAGATAGATTGAGAAGCTATTCTGAAATCTCAGTGGGGGGGAGGCTCAGAATTCGTAAGGGGGGTGCAAAGGTCCTGTCGCCACCCCCCCCCCCTGTATCTGCCCCTGGTAAACTCTGTTTCGTGTTTTTCCACCTATTAGATTCATTCTTTAAACAAATGTACACATTATTTGTAGATAAAATGTAAAAAATAATTTTTTTTAAGCTAAAAAAGGAAATAATTTTCCTTAAAATTTAATATATTAAAAGCAAACAACATAACCCTGTTTTTTTTGCATTAAAAATTAACATTAATTATTATTTAATATTTAGTTATTTTACGAATTTTATATAATAAGATTGTTATAAACAAGATTAATACCATTGTATCCTCGTAGAAGGTGTGACAGATTCTACAGCATTTATATCCTATTGAAACCTTATCTCTAGGTTTAGGTTTAAAGTAAGGATCATCAGCTAATATTGGCTCTGTTACTTGTCTTCCAACACTGGGTCTAAAAATTATTTCATTCCATAGAATCAGAAATATTTTTTACGACAATGGTTCATACTTTTAAGGATGGAATAATTTTAAGGATTAGGGAAAGGGAATAAAAAATTGAACATTAACTCAGTCAAAACAAAAATCTATTATCCTCTGTTCTAAGACCTCATGCATGGGGAAAAAATAAAGAAGAATTAAAGAATTCTGCATGAATCAAACAATGAATTAAAGAATGAACGTGTTTGTTGTTAATCTTATTAACATTTCTTGTTTCTCTGCACGAACCTTATACTCCGATCTCTCTTGGATTTTCCGCTGACTTCACCAATAATTTGGTCAATATTTCGCCAATCCAACATTTCTTTTTTCTTCTTCTTCTTCTTCTTTTTAGTATCCTCTGTGTCAGGAAAGTAGCTGTGAGCCCTCCAATCTCGAACCTTATTGTTAGGCGCACACTGGACTGATAAACCACGAAGGACTAAAATAATTTTTTTTCAATCCTATTGAAGAAACTGTGGACCCCCGGCCCCTCTTTATCAACATGTTCAACTTCGAAAGCATAACGGAGTTAATTCCATAACAAATATTTTTCTTTAATATTTTGGGTTCGTTCGGTTAGACCGTTTACAACAAACGTCTATATTATATACTTTATTATGTGCGTGAGTTTCGAAGTCGCAGATTGTTATCTAGACTAGAGCGGGGAGACGGGGACAGGGTCGAGGGTGGGGTCCAAAGATTGCTCACTAGGAAATTTACCAATCTTAACATGATTTTATAATTTATTTCAAGGGAAAGGATTTAACATACCTGGAGACTTGGAAGAAGACTCTCGGCGTGTAATTTTACTGTTCTCTTTCCTACTCAAAATACGTAATATTATTTATAAATCAATTTCTCAGACTTATCTTATAAGGCCCAAAACAACGATAGTAAAATATTTAATTACTAATAAATATATTATATATAACATTACCTCATTGACTCCGGGGGTTTAATTTTCTTTCCCCTTTCATAAACACGTTCTTTTGAGACAGACTTGTTTCTAGCCTGATGTCTACTATATGCTCGGCTTTTATTCCAGGAGTCAGATCTGCTCCTGCTCCTTCCTGTCGGTCTGAGTTCAGATCTGCTCCTGCTCCTTCCTGTCGGTCTGAGTTCAGATCTGCTCCTGCTCCTTCCCGTCGGTCTGAGTTCAGATCTGCTCCTGCTCCTCCCCTTCAGTCTTGGGTCAGATCTGCTCCTGCTCCTTCCCGTCGGTCTTGGGTCAGATCTACTCCTGCTCTTTTGTCTCGGCGAATCCATTCTACTTCTGCTCACTGATGGTTTAATCCGTAAATTGGATTTTGCCCTCTCCCGAGGACTTCTAATACTTCCGCTTCTGCATCCTGGACTTTTTCTACTTCTGCTCCTACTTCTACCTCTTGACATAGGGGATACCCCATGTACATACACCCTGGATACACTTCTGACCGACTGATGTGTTCTAGACCTTTTGGATCTTTCAGGGCTTAATCTACTTTTAGATTTGATTCTTTCCATCACTTCTGTAATCTATACATATAAAGTTGTAATCTCTGTTTGTTTGTCCGATCAAAATTATTATTATTTATTTTTCAAATTAGGAAATACCAACTTTTTTCTATTATATATTTGGAATAATACCAAGAAAGAATCCGATGTGCTAGCATGCAGCTTTGAAAAACAATTATCATTATTTTGTTTTTAACGGATTATTTAATGAATGTTAAGCAAAAATTTGGTCTGTCTTAGTGAACGATTCTTGCCCCCCCCCCCCCTATTAATTTTGTACATAACCGCTTATTCCTCAGCAAAATTATTATTTCTTATTTTTATCATTTCGGGGTTAGGTCGCTGCGGCTAGAACAGGCTAGGGGGCCGAGTGCCGCGGCTAGGATAGGCTAGGGGCCGGGCGCTGCGACCACATGAACAATGATAACCATGTACAAAATTGATAGGAGGGGCGGGGGATACAGCAATCGCTCTCTAGGAAATTACCTATGTTACGAGTTAGGTTGGGTTTCGACACTTTAAGAGCCGAGCGCTGCGGCTATGATAGGCTAGGAGGCCGAGCGCTACGGCTATGATAGGCTAGGAGGCCGAGCGCTGCGGCCAGGGGGCCGAGCGCCGCGGCAAGGAGGCTAGGATCTGGAGGGATTCAGATATCCTTCCTAGGGGGTTATGATTCCACTGGAGGGATTAAGTTATCCTTCCAGGTTTATAATTCCACTGGAGGGATTCAGATATCTTTCCAGGGGGTTTATAAATTCACTGGAGGGATTCAGATATCCTTCCTGTGTGTTTTTTCTTCCGTTGGAGGGATTCAGATATCTTTCCAGGGGGTTTATTATTCCACTGGAGGGATTCAGAAATCTTTCAAGGGGTTTATAATTTCACTGGAAGGATAAACCTCCTGAAAAGATATCTGAATCCCTCCAGTGGAATTATATAAACCCCCTGGAAGGATATCTGAATCCCTCCAGTGGATTTATAAACCCCCTGGAAAGTTTCTGAATCCCTCCAGTGAAATGTAAATCGCCCTGCGTAAAGTTTTAATTTTAAAAAGCATTTTTTCAAATCCCTCCAGTAAAAATTGAATTCCCTCCGGACTTCCGTGACTCTGATAAAGCTTTAATACTGTAGTACAACTATTAAATTAATCCTATGTTCACCGAAAATTTTGTGTGATGTGTCATATTACATAATAAAAAAATATGATTTTTTAATGAAAGACATTTCTTGTCAGTGTCTGAGTGTAATGTAATTTGATTTATGGATGAATAGTGAATATATATACATATATATAAATTGTAAATTGTAATTAATATTGTGATTTATATTAACCAGAATAATTTCTTTTTTATTTCATATCAGATGTGTTAACTTTCTGAATATCCTGTTGTTAATGTTAGTTTTTTTTAATGGGTTGAGTATACTTAAACTAATAGATTAATATATTCTGATTCACAACAATACCCTTCAAAGCTTTGTCTGATCAAGTATTGCATTAAATATTCATGTTTCTCATTTTAAAAACTGATTATTTTTATTTGTGGTTTCTCTACCAAAGTTACTCGCGCATTTCTTGCTTCAGAAACGATGAGGAATTGAAGGTACACCGAGCAATATGCCACTCTATAAATGGAGGGTAACTTGAAATTACGCATGTATTCCATTTAAGTATACATACATCGTATAAAAAATACTTTGAAATAATTTATCATAATTTATAAAACAATATGTATCGATCCTATGAAAATATATGTAGATGTTTTTTAGATACGTTTCCATCTCTATTTTTTATCCCTTGAAGCTTACACTACAGTATTAAGAGGGATTGTCTGATGAGTCCACTTCAGAAAATTACATTAATAATTTATTAACGCTTGTAATATGGAAGTGTGTATATGATTGAATAGTTAAGAATGGTATCAATATTTTTTCAAAAAAGGGGTTTTTAAGGGGGGGAGGGCACATGAGGACCATAACTCTACGGGGAAACCAACCTGTTAACTGTGGACGCCCTAGGGACCGTAACTTGCGTAGCCTAATCTCCTTAGGGAAACCAACCCTTCAGTGGGATTATCAACCCTTCAGTGGGATTATCAACCTTGGACCAATCTCGAGGCCCTTTTTGAGCTCAACAAAAGGATATTAATTGAAGGAATAGGTTAGTATATCTCGGCCTCTTTCATCTAAGATACTGTAAAGGATAATTACTGAAGGAATAGGTTAATAAGTATATCTTCTCTATCATCTAGGATACTGGTAAGGATATTTACTGAAGGAATAGGTTAGTTACAGTTATAGTATATCTCCTCTCTCATCTGGGATACTGCAAAGGATGTATACTGAAGTTATAGGTTAGTATATCTCCTAGCTCTTTAAGCTAAGATACTAAAAAGGATATATATCTCTTGAGGAATAGGTTAGTATATTTATCTCCTCTCTCATCTGGGATACTGTAAAGGATATATACTGAAGGAATATATTAGTTTAATATATATCCTCTATCATTTTGGATACTGTAAAGAATATATACTGTCAAGGAATAGGTAAGTAAATATATCTCCTCTCTCATCTGGGATACTTGTAAAGGATATATACTGTTAAGGAATAGGTTATAGTATATCTCCTCTCTCATCTGAGATACTGTAAAGGATATGCTAAAGGAAGGGTCACCTAAAATTGCACTTACAATCCCTTTAATAATCAATAATGACTTAAGATTGTTTGATAATCACAATGATCTAAAACTGCTTTATGCTACATATTGATTTCCATGATCACTAATTATCTATGACAAGAAGTGCTTAAAGATCAACAATGACAATATGAACTGTTAGATGATAACAAATGATCTAGAATTACATGATTATAACCAAATATCTATCCATTCTTTACTCCAGATGATCTAAACTGATCATTGATCAATTTCACCTTTTCTGCAGCCTCGATTATTTTGTATTATCTTACATGTTCATAGTTGAAATTTTAAACTAGTGTGTTTGGTGTTTTAAGCCTTCGCTCCTTACTTTTAGTTTTATTTGACAGACTAACGAGCTATGTGTGGACTGCACAACTAGACATCACTATTTAAACTAGATATTTGTCTTAGAATTAGATTTAGGACTTAGCACTCTTTCTCTTTCATTTAGAATATTTTCATTTCAAGATGTCTCTTTTTATGTTTCATAAAATATTTTAGAATATTTAATTTTAGGTTTATGATGCATGCTTTTCACCCTGATTTAACGTTTCAGTCCTTGTCCGAGTGAGCTGTAATTTTCGATTACAATTTGACCTATTAAACATAAGTGTTTTGCTGTTTCTCATTATTTTTTTCTAATGAAATAGTAGAAAAAGACAACTGTGTAAGTTCAAAGATGGTTAAATTATAAAACAAAAAGCGATTGAATTCAAAGAGACCGAGCGCTTTTCGCCCTGGTTAGTCCAGGGTGTTATTTGCACAGTAGATGAGAATAAAAATGATTTGTTTACAGAATTCGGATTTCAATTGAGGGAATTCCAAACTTCAAGAACATATATCAAAAATTTAGAATAATACTTCAGAGACGACTGTCCAGAGTATTCAATCTTTTCCCTTGCCTTTTACGCTTACGTTGCTTTCTTTCCCATAATCTTTATTTTTACTTTAAACATTTGTAAGGTTTTAGGCCGCCATTAACCTCCTTCTAAAGTTGGGCATCACTTTTGTGAAGAACCAATTTAAACTACACTTCCTTAGCTTTGTGAGAGGGAAAATGAAAATGTTTACATCAATATTCTTCATTATTGAATTAGTCATACATTTTCAAATTCCCACAACAACCCAATGCCTTTTCCCCTACGTCTCCTCTCTCCTCTCCCTTCCCCGCATCCCTCAACGCCAAATGTTAAATATGCTTCTTCAGTGGCCATATTCACCATTATGGCCATTGTGTTAAAACATAAGCATCGATAGTTTCTATGTTTGATGGTTCTCCCTGTATTATAGCATGAGTAGACATAGTTCCTATGTTTAATGGTTCTCCCTGTATTAAAGCATTAGAAGACATAGTTCCTATGTTTAATGGTTCTCCCTGTATTAAATCATTAGTAGACATAGTTCCTATGTTTAATGGTTATCCCTGTATTAAAGCATGAGTATCCATAGTTCCTATGTTTAATGGTTCTCCCTGTATTAAAGCATGGGTATCCATAGTTCCTGTGTTGTATGGTTCTCCCTGTATTAAAGCATGAGTTTCCATTTTTCCTATGTTTAATGGTTCTCCATGTATTAAAGCATGAGTAGACATAGTTCCTATGCTTAATGGTTCTCCCTGTATTAAAACATGAGTATCCATAGTTACTATGTATACTGAATCTCCCTGTATTAAAGCATGAGTATCCATAGTTACTATGTATACTGACTCTCCCTGTAGTAAAGCATGACTATCCATAGTTCCTATGTTTAATGGTTCTCCCTTTATTAAAGCATGAGTATCCATAGTTACTATGTATAATGAATCTCCCCGTATAAAAGCGCCAAATTCAATTATTCATCCTTCAGAAAGAAAGATGAATAAGAGCTCCCACTCTTTATTCATATATTATAAAGGACCCGCGTAAATTTAATATTATATGCAGCAATCCTATAGAGTTTGCTGGAAACATGTATACCCGCTTTTTAGGAACTAGAGTTGTAAAATTCCTAAAAAGGTAAAATTATTCTATCATAAAAAACAGGGATTTAAGATTATATTGTTTTTGTTCTTTTAAGACAACGCGCGTAATAAATGAAAAGTCGCTCAAAGCTGCACTGGTGGTATGACATGTGATCTTTGAAAATTCAGTTGGTTACAATGAATTAGAACTTTTTTCAAGTTTATATTATTCATTATGTCTATATATATACTTTGCTTTTCTGTCTGTCTGCATGTTTGTATCTAATAAATGTCAAAACGGCATGACAGAATTACAAAACTTTGTCTTCAACTAATTTTGATATTCGTAAAATTTTGAAAATCCACTAACTTTTGTTGATGTTATTATTTTATATTGTTAACATAGAGAAAATGCTGACAGA